ATAACTCGCGTCATTTCTGGACTATGCAGATAGTGTGCTTTCTTGAGTGCTTCCACGGTGCCCACTACGTTCGCTATGCGATTTGCGAATATGCATAGCTCCCTGGGATTGTCCGTAACTTTGTTCAGCAGCTTCAGCTTCTCTATTTCCAAGTGAATTAACGCTTCTGGTCGTCCGAATCTCCTTTCCAAAGCTTCTATTATAATTCTGGGATCTGGTTGGCTTATAAGTAGGCAACCTGCGGCTTCTTTTGCTGTCCCTTTTAAGCTTCGGCGTATTCTCGCTATGTTTTCGTTCGCCGTGAAGTACTTTGAAGATTCTTCGTACATTGTCTTGAAGCTGAGCCACTCCTTGCTGCTACCATTGAATGAGGGCAGCTCTTGTATATATTTCGGCGGCTCCCTTGTGCTTCGTACTGCTTGTGATAGAGCAGCGGCTAAGGTAGCGACGTCGATTTGCTGCTGCGCCTGTCCATAGTCTTCTTTCTGCGGCGCGGTATGTTGCGGAGCGTATTGCGGCGCACACTGTTGAAGTACGGGTGGTGCGATCTGCAGTGCTGGTTGCGGCGCGAAGTACGACGTGGGTTGCGGCGCGGGCTGCGGCGCGGGTTGTGGCGCGGGTTGTGGCGCGGGCTGAGGCGTAGGTTTTTCTTGCAACCATGTACTAATGCGCACTGATGCCAAATCGTCTTCTATTTCTTCATCTTCATCGGTTGATCCGGCTTCTGCTTGTAGTCGCTGCACGTGTATTTCTTGCAATTCTGTTCTTGCTTGCAACTGAGCCTGCTCGAGCTTGAGTTCGGCTAACCGCTCTTTCGCCTCTAACTCCGCGAGGAGTCTCTTGCGTGAGGCTACGGAGCGGCGTGACCTAGTCTCGCCGGGCTTCAATGTGCACTGCGATCTTTGATCACCCTCTTGCTGGGTTTCTTCCGTTGCGGTTGTTCTATCGGTTGCCGAGGTAGCGGTCGTATCGCTGACCGTTGTGGTTTCGCTAGTGGTGTTTGTTGAACCACTAGCGGCTGAGTCGCCCCCGGAGGCCTCTTCTGTGGCCCCCTGGGTTGTTTGTTCATCCTTGCGACGCTTCGATGATTCTCCGTTGTTACTACGCGTAATCACCATTCTTCTTCACAATAATATTTTTTCGTTCTTGCGGTTTGCTTCTTTCTTCCGGCAATACCAAGACCGATATTGTCTTTTTCTTCTAGTAATCCGGCTTCTCGAAGGACCATTAATATTACGGATCGCCGTAATGCCGTGCGAAAAATGGAATAAAACGCGCTGGTCTTGCTTTTAACTGGAGGCAAGCGGCGGTGAGGAGGAACTTGTACTTTTTCTTTTCTTGCTGGTGCCTTTTCGGTGGCTGGAGAGCGACTGCTGACCCTAGCGGCCGGCCCGTCTTTTATATGATTTGGCCGCTGCTGGCCAGCGGACCCTTGCCTCACCCCCGCGCCTATCTTTATTTATTTAATAACCTTACAAACTAATAAACATAATTCACTATATAATATTCTTATAACTACTTGTTAGACTAGGGTGTACATATCAATATTTTTACTTATTTACAGGTTTACATTATAATTTTCAGCTGCTTTAGGCGGAGAATCCTTCCCCCCGCCTCAGCACTATAAATATAAAACGTCGTGGCGCGGTGCGCGTGGCTTCATTTGCTCCGCGGCCGCGTCACGATAACATGCTCTTTGGTTACACTACTACTATTTTTTTTATGTGCCTAACGGCCTAATATATTTATTATATAATAAAGTAAACATTTATTATATTTAACAATTATAGTTTTCATTAGAAGACTATGCTAACTCTCCCTGTTCATACGGTGCCTTTATTTGGGAGAGTTATTGCACAGTTACAACTCAACCTTAAACTTAGTTATAATACAATCATTATTTTTTATCGTTCGATACAATAATACAATTATTTACACAAATTATAATTTAAATTCAACATAAGGTTGCGCTAGTTCCGCCGTATAACCCTTGCTAGTTGTCGAACCAGAGGCGTGGCCTGATAATTACACCGTCGTCATGGCTCCGCCCACCGCTCCTAGGTTGTTCAACTAGCGCCGGTTACAATAAGCATTTTCTTTCGTTTGTTTAATATTGTTGCGTCGTGCACAGTAAGACACACAGCATCCATTTACTATCAGGTAGACAGTGTGCTCATTTGTCACCCTCATTCTATAAATTCTTATTCTAATTCTATAAACTCATTTTATACGTGGTAGAGCCATGCTGCAGCTATATTAGTAGTATAGTTGTAGCACGAATGGGTCGGCTCGACCGGGGAAGGACCACGCTCTCACAGAATACCAGCGTAAAATAACAGCTTAGTACTACTGCGTTTCGTATATTGAGTGTAGAGAACTGGAGACCCTTTTTACTGGAAAAGAGGCATTCCATCTTAGTCACGGGTGACAACGCATCTGCATTTTGATTCGCAAACGAGGATAGATGTAGATGTCTATGGGCCACAGCAACCACTTACCATCAGGTGGACTGTGTGTTCGTTTGTTTCTATAAAAAAAAGAATAGGATATTTTTATACAAATTAGGGTGACAAACGAGTACACAGTCCGGCTGATGGTAAATGGGTATTATGGCGCATAAACCACGAGTATGTAACCATTTTACAATCCATACGAGGGCGGCACTGAAAATTTCGGGAATCAAGGAAGTGACACTACATTACTATTTAAAAATGTATTCATTGCTTTTCGAAGTATTCTCCGCGAAATTTGACACATTTTTCCATACTATGGAACCAATCATTGAAGCAACCATTCCATTCGGAAGTTGGGGTCTCCAAAATGGCCGTTTTGTAGGCGTCCACAGCTTCTTCAGGTGATGAAAATCTCTGTCCACGCAATTTATTCTTTATTTTAGGGAAAGTATAGAAACCATTAGGGCTTAGGTCGGGGCTGTACGGCGGATGGTCTAATAATTCTATGTTTTCTTGCTCTAAAAACTTTTGTTCTGTGTGCGGTATGAGAACTCGTATTGTCGTGATGGAGGATGATGCGGCGGTTGCAGTTCTCTTTACGGAGTTCAGAAACGACCTGTGGCAAACAAATGCTAGCATACCACTCTGCATTAACTGTTCTTTGTCCCTCAAGAGGAATAGTCGTAACATGGCTGGTTTTGAAGACAAACGTGGCCACCATTTTTTTTGCAACACTCCGTGAACGAACAATTTTTGTTGGCTTTAACTCATTTTCGAACACCCAAACTCGTGACTTGTTTTTTGTTTCGGGTTCGTACGCGTATATCCAGGATTCGTCACCTGATACGATGTTGTATGCAGCATTTGAGGATCCTGCTTGGAATCTTTCAAGAGTTCTGACGCACCAAGTAACGCGAGCCGCTTTTTGCTCTTCACAGAGCGAATGCGGTATCCATCGGGAAAACATCTTTTTTACACCTAATTGTTCATGCAAGATTATTTGTATTTGACTCATGTCAATGTCTAAAGTTGCCTGAATTTCGCGGTATATCACATGTCAATCTTCCTCAATCAGCTTACGCACAGCATCAACGCTTTCTGTGGTGACTGCAGTTTTTGGACGACCTTGACGGGGATCTTCACTGAGCTTGACACGTCCACGTTGAAATTCAGCAAACCAGCGATAAATTGTGGTTTTGGATGAGGCTTCATCACCAAATGCAGAAATCATCCGGTCAACACACTGTTTTTGTGTTAAACCACTTCGAAAGTCATAATAAATCATCGCTCTTGAATTTTCTCGAGTCAATTCCATTTTCTCAACGACTAAACAAGTTTGACAAAACCTTGTGACCGAGAATCTTTTTTGAAATAAATAAATGGTATTCGATTTTTAAAACCAAGGACTTTTCAATTAAAAAGATTTTAATATGACAGGAACAGTGGAAATATTCCATTCCCGATACTTTTAGTGCAGCCTATGTACAGGCGTGATGTAATAATCTATATAGTTTTGAATTTTAATTTAAAAATGCCACATATGTAGTTACTTACTTTACTATGATGAGGGAAATCGTTGTGGAAACGTACCCGAACAACCACATGCGAGATCAATTGGGGTAAACTGAACTGTCGGCAATTTGTTAGAGTACTTTTTTATTTATGTTTTTAGTAGAAATATTTTTTTTATATTGCAAGCTCTGTATATGTTTTATGATGAACCTTACCAGTGTGTAAGGGTTTTAGATAAAATATAGTCCAGGTCACTCCTGGCATTACTTTTTTATTATCTTATATATATTTTTATTATTACTTATTTATTATTATCTGTTCGTAACATTTCATAACAATCGGTTCAGCCAGACAAAAATTTTAAAAATTATTATTCATGCCTTAAAGGCAGTTATTTCTATAATATAGACATACAATCCAATTTTATTTATGTATGTATTTTTTATAGAATAAGGGTGACAAACGATCACACAGTCCACCTGATGGTAAGTGGATGTTGTGGCCCATAGACATCAACATTTATCCTCGATTAAGAATCAAAATGCAGATGCGTTGTCACCCCTGAGGACTAAGATGGAATGGCACGTTTCTAGTAAAAAGGGTCTTCGGGTCTCTACACTTAACATATCAAACACATCAGTGTTAACACGTTCAACACGGAACGAGATCTTTTAGTTCTCGTTTGTGACGTTTCAGTACCGCGCAAGTGAAATCCTATGTCCATCCCGTTTTAGCAAATGATATTTCTGTATGTTTCTTTACTAATAAAGTGAGATAAATATATTTTCCGATGTTAGGTACATCGGGTGTAGTATTTTTATGAATGAAAACGAACGAGATCTGATAGTTCTCGTTGCGACCGTATAGTAAAATTTTGCTTCTAGTACGGAACGAGAACTAAAGGATCTCGTTGCGATCTCGTGCGAAGCTTGAAAAGAAACTAAATAGTGCCGTGTAAACTTTCGATGAGTGCACATCAATTACGCTGTAATCAGGATGGATAATATTATGACGAATCGCAAACGCAGTCGAAAAATGTTGGAACTTTGCTTTAGTTCTTCCGAAGAACCTAACATGGTGACTGAAAGTAATCGATCTCCAAAATCTTCATTTCTGTTCCGGAAAGTGTTCAAACGTTTTCCTGGAGTGCGCAGTGAAAATATTTCTGTTAGCCCGAATACTGGACATTCATACCAAGAACTTACTAATGTTTCACCATCACCATGCGTCCAACGTGATACATCGTGCTGCACGGATCAAAATGTGGGTAAATCTAACTTACATACATCTTACTTTCCAAGTACCAGCAAACAAGGGTCTTCGCAGTTTGTACCGCCTAGCACACCAGATACGGACTGCATGGATTTACAAACTAAAAAGATAAAAATAATAGAGGAGATAATAATTCCAGCACCAAAATATGCGCCTGTTTTTACAGATACTGCAATGGGCAATAATTATACTTTGCCATTAGTCCCATTGTCTGGGGGTAACTTTACTTATGGTTCTCTCAGCAATATTTCGGTGTCAAATATGATTACCCTTGATGAGTCTTTCGATGAGCAAAAGATATCTGATCTACTTAATACACCAAAAAGAAATAATCGTACTATTAAAGAAAAACTAAGTTCATATTTAAATTTTGATAAGACACCAAAAGAACCACAATCAGATTTGTCTGCGCCAGATCCCAGTCAGTTACCTCTTGACATGGATAAAGCAACAAAAACACAGTGTGCATCTACTTCTAACGTTGTTATTAAAGATAACGCGACAATTACTAGTACGAGTATTAATAGCACCCACGAAAATGATCCAGTCATTGATACAGATGATGACAGCAGTTATGCTCCTAGCACTTCTTCGGAAAGTGAATCTGATATTACTGTTATAACAACCGAAGATGAATGTGATGGAGATAGTAACAATCAGTTGAACAACGGAACACCTCAAAATATTACAACACAACAAGAAAATGTTGCAGAAGATGCTGATGGAGATGAATGGGTCGACATAGAAGATACGACTCCGGAATTTGAAGAATACCCGCACGAATGTCAATACAGTGTACCTGAAAATGTTAAGACACTAGATGAGTTATTTAGACTGTTTCTAACAGATGAGATAGTTGACAAGATGGTTCTTGAGACTAATTTGTACGCGGAAAAATTTCTTACTAATCCAGACTTGAAGAGAAAATTTCGGTTCCGCTATTGGAAGCCAATTAACAGAGAAGAGATGCTGAAGTTTTAGGTGTTGCACTAGTTATGGGTTTGAATAAAGTTCCACACATTAATTACTACTGGTCCAAAAATATTATGTATCGAAACGAATATATCATAAAAGTTATGAGTAAAGATCGATTTACTGCAATTTTAAAGTTTTGGCATTTTAGTGATGACACTATTGACAGGACAACCGATAAACTAAATAAAATACGTGATATGTATGAAATGCTTCTTGCTAATTTCAAGAAAGTTATTGTCCCAGGTAAAATCCTAGAGATTGATGAGACCATGGTGCCATGGCGCGGAAGACTACAATTCCGGCAATATATAAAAAATAAATCACATAAATATGGAGTAAAGCTTTACAAACTATGTACTGTCGATGGATATACTTGTAATATGATAGTGTATACAGGAAAAGGACAGGATGGACGGGAAAAGGATCATGGAATGAAGACCGTTTTGAAATTAATACAAAATTTAGACAAAAACGGTAGGATTGTTATAACAGACAACTTTTACAACAGTGTAGAACTTGCTGAAGAACTATTAAAGAGAAAAACTTTTTTGTGTGGTACTCTCAGAGCAAACAGAAGGGGTTTACCAAAGTCTGTTGTGGCAAAAAAGATAAAAAAGGGCGAAGTAATTGGAAAGATGAGAAGAACCGGTGTAAAAGTTATAAAGTGGGTGGACAAAAGAGCAGTCTTAATGATTACTTCATGCAAAAATCATGATGTTTCATGAAAAACTTATAACTAAAACAAGATCTAGGCGAGGGAGGGAGAAACAAATAAGGAAGCCAGAATGCATATTTTTTAATAATGATGGCAAAAGGGAATTGATTACAGTGACCAAATGTCATCATATTACAGCACCTTGAAGCGGGGAAAGAAGTGGTTTCGTAAATTGATGATGGAACTTCTTTTTGGAACAGCTGTAGTAAATGCATGGGTGGTATATAATATATATAAAAAAAATTATTGAAAGCATCATAACGAAATTCACAGGAGTTCCTCTTTACCTGGAAAAAGATAATCCGGAAGTGACCATTGAATACAAATATATAGTGAATACCAAGAAGAGACGTTGTGTGAGTTGCTACGAAAAGGCACGAAGAACAATGACTAGCATAGAAGCGGATAAAAAGACAAAACAGATTAAAGGTTTCTGTGTGAAGTGTGAAATAACTATGTGTCTTCCGTGTTTTAATGAAAAACATTGACATTTTTTGTTCTAAGCAGTTAGTCAGTTTCTAATGCCTTACCTACTATTTTATTATAATAAATGATTCAGTATCGATAATGTTGTTTCCCATCACTATTTTTTCATCGATACTATACAATATCGGCGAAACGAGATCTAAGAGTACCCGCATTTTTTTGCTATCTAGTGCGGAACGAGATCCAAAAGTTCTCGTTTTTTTATTTTGAAAATTTTCCTGTATTTTTTTTTAGATAACTTGAGGCGGTGATAACTTACTGAAAGGTCTGTTCATCCCCTACCTGCACATACAAAAAAAAATTACGGTTATTCAAATTTCATAGAAATATTAAGGTTTAAAGTGACCAAGTCGTACGCGACTTATTGGATCTCGTTGCGCATTCCTTGTGGATCACAACGAGAACTTTTAGATCTCGTTGCGTCATATTAACTAGATGCATAGCTGGGCTTCCGCGATGAACGTGTTAAGCTGCTATTTTACGCTGGTATTCTGTAAGAGCGCGGTCCTACTTCGGTCGAGCCGAACCATTCGTGCTACAACCAAATAAAAAATACATATAGATTGTAAATTCCATTGTTACGTTAGACACCTCTTGATCAATAACTTTTGCAAATTAATTAGACGTAGTGATCCGTCTAAAACGGGTGCTCCGAAGTCAACTATTTTAATTAATTTCGAGAGACGAAACATTAATTTGGAATGTGATCTCTAGAAGTACGAGCGCGCTCCTAAATAATTTGAAATTAATGTGAAATACTCGTGCTGAGTAAAAGTTTTGATGGAATCATTATAATTAACTAGCTGAACCCGGCAGACGTTGTCCTGCCACTTAATATAGGTTATGTTCAGCAACGTTGTTTATTTTAGCGCATGCAATTTAATTTATTAATTGCTGTGCTTAATTGAAAAAAAAGCAAATAAAATCAAAAAAAAATTCTTTTTCTCAATTTTTCTTTAGTTTATAAATAACCTTCTCCGTTGAAAAATACATATAATACCAATTTTCATGGTGATAGATCTAATAGATTTTGAGTTCGTATATACAAACATCCAGTAAAACGGGTCTCCGGGTCTCTACACTCACCATACGAAACACAGCAGTATTAAACTGCTATTTTACGCTGATATTATGTGACCACGCTGGCCCTACTCCGTTCGGGTTGACCCATTCATGCTACCACCATAATATAGCTGCAGTGTGGTTCTACCACGTAAAGTCTTTTATTTTTTAATAAAACGCAAATTTCTTCGAGATAAACATATATATATCTATAGGATTTAGACTGCGGGAAAATACATTGTAGTAAGCGACAGTAGCCTAATGGCAGGGTGGAGACCACGAACTCAAAAGGTTGTGGGTTCTAATCCGCCATTCGACTATTGTCGTCAACTACTAGGTTAAATGGAATTAATAACATTGCTAGTATTTTTTTAAATTACAGTATCTCATATTATCTCGGTCTCCTCTTTGAGCGGTAAAGTACCGCTCAAATAGACCGAGAAAAAGATGGTTAATATAAATTTTAACTGTTAAAACAAACAGTTAAATAATTGACTAATTTATTAAATAAATTAAATTTACCATATTATTACGATCGTCTCGTATGTGAATAAAATTATCATATCCAATCCATTCATAACAATCCACGATTTTATAACTTTAGACCATCTAGCGTCTATACACTATATATATATATATATATATATATATATATATATATATATATATATATATATATATATATATAGATATATAGATATACTACTATAATTACGTGTCACGTTGCTTGTCCGCGATGGACTTCTAAACTACTGAACTGATTTCAATGAAATTTTGCACACTGTGTGCATTTTGGTTCAACTCGAGAGATTTTTTAAGTTTTTATCTCGCTAAATGACCCTCAAAATTTTTTATTGTGAATTTAAGCATTTTTATAGGAAGGGTCGTCGGAAAGGGCAAAACAACGTCTGCCTGGTCAGCTAGTATATATATATATATACTCTTAATCTCATGGCTGTTAGACGGGAGATGAATCTACATTCTTCAACAGACTTGACAGCATACAGGCATCTGAATAGACAGATCTGCAAATGCATGCGGCGGGACTTACGCAACTTCAATACAGCTCGTATTGAAGAAGCGATCGAGCGGAACCAAGGCTCCAAAGTCTTTGCCAGAGATCTGTCTGCCAGAAAGAGCCAACTGTCAAAGCTGAAGACAGAATGTGGCAGCATCGTTTCCGGGACACCTGAGATTTTGAGTGAGATTGAGAGGTTCTATGGGCAGCTGTACACGTCATCGTTGGAGCCACACGCAAGTGTGAGTAACGATCCAAGAGCGAGTCTCATCCGACACTATTCCGAAGATATCCCGGACGTCAGTCTGAGCGAGATTAGAATGGCTCTCCAGCACCTTAAAAACGGTAAGGCCCCAGACGAGGATGGAATTACAGCGGAGCTTCTGAAAGCGGGTGGAAGACCGGTACTTGAAGTCCTTCAGAAGCTCTTTAATTCCGTCCTTCATGGTGGCATTATACCGGAGGCGTGGAGCAGAAGTGCGGTGGTCTTGTTCTTCAAGAAAGGTGACAACGCTCTCTTGAAGAACTACAGACCGATTTCCCTTCTGAGCCGCGTCTACGTGCTGTTTTCGAGAGTCATTACGAATCGTCTCGCGCGCAGACTTGACGACTCCCAGCCTCCCGAACAAGCCGGTTTCCGAAAGGTTTTTAGCACCATAGACCACATACATACCCTTCGGCAAATTGTACAGAAGTCCAAAGAGTACAATTTGCCACTATGTTTGGCATATGTGGACTATGAGAAACCCTTGATTCCGTCGAAATTTGGGCGGTGCTGCAGTCCCTTCAGCGGTACCAAGTTGACTGTCGGTATATCGAAGTGTTGAAGTGTTTGTACAGTAGAGCTACGATGGCTATCCGAGTACAGAACCAGAGTACGAAACCTATCCAATTGCAGAGAGGTGTAAGACAGGGTGGCGTCATATCCCCGAAACTCTTCACCGCTGCATAGGAAGACGTTTTCAAGCTTCTGGACTGGAAAGGATACGGTATCAACATCAATGGCGAGTACATCACTCACCATCGATTTGCCGACGATATAGTCCTTATGGCAGAATCGCTGGAGGACCTAAGCACTATGCTCAATGACCTCAATAGTGTCTCCCAACGGATAGGTCTTAAGATGAACATGGACAAAACAAAGATTATGTTTAATGTCCATGTCACACCTATGCCGGTAGTTGTTGGGAGCACTAAGCTCGAAGTTGTTGACGAGTTTGTTTACCTGGGACAAATAGTCCGACTAGGTAAGTCCAACTTCGACCGAGAGCTCAATCGACGGATTCAACTCGGCTGGGCAGCGTTCGGGAATCTACGACACATTTTCTCGTTAGACATACCTCAAAACCTTAAAACAAAATTGTACAACCAGTGCGTGTTGCCAGTGATGACTTACGGAACTGAGACGTGGTCCTTCACAGCTGGCCGTATGAGGAAGCTCAAGGTCGCTCAGCGAGCTATGGAGAGGAGGGCTATGCTCGGAGTTTCTCTGCGTTATAAACTTAGGAATGAGGATATCCGCAGTAGAACCAGAATAACCGACATAGCCCAACGGATTAGTAAGCTGAAGTGGCAGTGGGCCGGCCATATAGCTCGTAGAACCGACAACCGATGGGGAAGAAAGGTTCTCGAGTGGCAGCCTCGTACCGGTAGGCGAAGTGTAGGGCGCCCCCCCACGAGATGGAGTGACGACCTGGTAAGGCATGCAGGAAGTCGATGGATGCA